CTAGGTATATGCTAGATAGGATAATTGACCTAAAGTCACCGGACAGTGGTGAATAGGGTTGACAGGTTTCCAGTTTTGAACTGGACAGTCCAGTATTTGAGCAGACTGTCCAGGATAAAATAAATATAAATACTGGACAAGTATATGAAAAATACTCTGTATGAAGTATTGTAATCGTGCAAAAAAATTTGAATTCAAAATTTTCAAAAATCTGTCGCTTTACACCTCCTTAAGTCGGAAAAACATAGTTTTGCAATTTTGTCTGTAGGTCTGTGTGTTTGTGGGCCTATGTATGCATGTATGTATGTATATCTGTGAACACGATAACTTGAGTAATATTAGAGCTAGGTTGATGATTATATATATATATATATATATATATATATATATATATATATATATATATATATATATATATATATATATATATATCCTGAGTTGCATAATTGAAATTGTTTTTCTACATTCGAATACGCCTTTATTTTTTATTTTTCTTCTTTAAATAAAATTGTTAAAACATCTAACATATTATTTTCAACAAAAGTCCGTATCATCAAGTTCTCCATATATCGCTGAAGATTCTGATATGATATTTTGCAGACAGAGAGAAGTGTGCACATTGTCTTTTATATATTAGGATATATACAGGATATATATATATATCTATATATATTTAAAAGAGAGAGAAAGCGTAGGGGGGGGGATTTATCACCATAATGGCTTAAATTGTTGTTAGCTAATCTTAGTTGTACATTGTTTTTTCTCTCATCAGTATGAACTGGAGTCTATGCCAGCCCACATCAAGCCACCCACGCAGGGCCAATTACAGTCTGGGGGTGTTTAATCATTGGAATTAATTAAACATGTTTTATCTGTTGTTTTTATTTCTTTATTCAAATGTTTGTCAGTAACAGACCACCCATCCTTGTGCAATTGTAAGACTTGACCCCTTCTTCAGCCTGATATAGATCCAAGTTCATCAGATGTTTCTCCCTTGTATTGAAGTATTTGAAGCACAAAGTGTGACAAAACCCTAATTTTGCTAGCTGCACGCGTCCAACACTTTAATGCAATGTGTTCAAATCATTACTAGTAGTTTACTAGTCAGTTTTGGACCGTTTATAAATTACAAAAGCGGTTCATAGTGTATACCTGTTGGCAAGTTGTTAAGACGATAATTGCTGGCTGATTATGTAAAAAGTATACCTGTTGGCAAGTTGTTAAGACGATAATTGCTGGCTGATTATGTAGTCTATACTGCATCCCAGCTGGGAAAATTGTTACAAAATGAGGTATCGCTGAATTTGTATCTCAACGTAAGTCAATTGTTTGCTGTATGCCTACTAGCCTCTGCTGCAACAATCCAATCTATCGAATTATTCACATGTTCATTCTATGTTGTCGGCCTGGACCAAACTCGTTAGTTCAGCGCTAGATCAGTCACTTTTTTATAAACTCGTTAGTTCAGCGCTATATCAGTCACTTTTTTATAAACTCGTTAGTTCAGCGCTAGATCAGTCACTTTTTTTATAAACTCGTTAGTTCAGCGCTAGATCAGTCACTTTTTTTATAAACTCGTTAGTTCAGCGCTAGATCAGTCACATTTTTATAAACTCGTTAGTTCAGCGCTAGATCAGTCACATTTAATTTTATTTTTTAAATAGAAACTAGCTGTATCTAAATTTTAGAGAAATTCATGAATTGTTCTTAACTCAATAACTGGGAGGAAAATTAAGCTCGCTTCCTCCTCCCCCCACCCATTTATAGTATTATTACTAGGTATATCAAACTGCCGTAAAAAAAACCGGATTTGTCGCCCAAATATAATAGCTTTTCATTTCATAGTTTCGAAAATAAAAAGGGCTCGTATAGTAATAAGCTTGGTACCATTAAAAAGTAGATTTTAAGCCCTCTAGTTATGTGTAATTTTTATAGTTGTTGATATTGAACAATAAATCTCATTTACCAATTGAAAACTATCACCGAGATGATTTTTCAACGGCAGTCGAGTAACGGATTTTGACCCCTCTCTCATTCAACTCGCGGGCCTTGTTTGACCGTTCAACCTATTTCTTTACAAATACCTGTAAAAAAAATGTGCAGAATTGAATAACATTTAATGGGATACTAAACAAATAAAATGCATAATAGTATTAATAGACTAAATATTTTAAATGTTAAAAAAATTAAGAAATTTGAAAATTACCATGTGATTCTTTTGTCGTATACATTTTTTATTAGCATATTCCGAAAGGTGGTCCTTTTTTTCTGTTAAAACAATTACTTTGTTTATCATTTCTGGGCATGGTCAAAAAAGGCCGAGCTCGACAAAACACACTATAGCCGTTTTCTTCGCACCAACACGCTTTTCTAAATTGATGTTAGCAAGTTTTAGAGGCTCGATAGTTCAGTAAGATAAATAAAAACATGTAGCTACTTAATAAATAAGTTTGTGAGTCTAGTTTTCATAGTTTATTTCTTCAGTATATTTTTATTATTAAAGCTATAACCCCATTCAATGATTAGACTTCCACGTAATTTTTCAGCTTCGTCCGATGAGCTAGACCCCACTTCACTTTGTATCTGAGTCAATTTTTTTACTTTCTCGTATATACGAAGTAGATCTATAGAAAAAGTCTTGTAATCGTGCAAAAAAAAAAAAAAATTTCACAAATCTCGCCGTTTTACACCTCACTGATACGGAAAAACATAATTTTGCAATCTAGTCCGTATGTCTGTGTGTGTGTAAACACGATAACTTGAGTACCGTTACAGCTAGGTTGATGAAATTTCATACATAAGTATTTTATCAAAATCGTAGATCCGTATCAACTTTTGAGCAATTTCCGATAACCGGAAGTGGTACTTTTTCTACTTTGAATTTTTCAAAAGCTTATAACTTGAGTACTATTTCAGGTAGATAAATGAAATTTCACATGTAAGTAAAAAATCTAATTCTCTACCAACTTTCAAATTTTGAGTCATTTCCGTTGATCGGAAGTACTAATTTACGATATTTTTGATTTCTCAAAAAATGCATGTAAATTTATAAAGTACTAATAATATTGCGCACTATTATGCACATTTCATTTGGCGTTCGCCTGGTGTGCAATTCTTTTTTCTACGAGATTTTATTCTATTTTAAAAACTTGAAGTATTTAAAATGGAGTCCCCATCCCCTGTTGTTTTATATAAGAATATTCGAGAAAGTCTAGGGGAGATCACTCCATGTGTATTTATGATAATTTAGTTCAAATATTTGTCTTTTCTGACAAAGGATACTTTTAAAAATTAATTGCAACATATTTTTCTAATCTTTTTAGAATAGCTGAATAGTTCTTTTTTTGGTAAATGTAAAAGGTCACGTGATCGTACACTTCGTCGCCAGTGGCAACAATATATGGGTATAGTTTAAAGTAGAAAACCCCGCAAATTTGATGCATGGGTTGGGTTTTAGCGATGATTTTAAACTAAATAGTACATGATGTGCATCTTGAATTACTTCATTACATAGATTTTTTAGTGTGTTCTTTAATTTCAATTTTAACTATATGCCTCCAAAACTTACCTGGAATGAGGGGGGGGGGGGGAGCGAGATATATTCACTACAGTTGTAACAATGTCGATAATAAAAAGTGCCATGTTTGAGAGGTTATATCTGTAAAAGTATGTCACAAATACAATCTTTTGAACTCAACACAAACACACATACAGAGAGAACAGACTCAATTTTTTTTCAAACCTCAAAAATAAGTACATCATTTAAATTAATTACATTAACATTGGCTTATTTCACTTTTTGAAAAAATTAAAAAGGGAAGTAAAAAACACTAATTTTGTACATTTTTAAAACATCACCAAAAAATGTCTGATGAAAGAACCTACTTGATAAGTATATCAAAATGTAGGGGAACAACGCTTCTTTGAATTAACGTAACATGTAATGGTGAAAAAAAATCATCGGCAACCGCCAAGGTGTTAGGGGCGCCAAGTGCAAGTCTGATCAGGTTTAGCCATCGAATGTTGTAGCCCACTTTGTCCAAGAGAGTCCTAGGTCAACGGAACGCCGGGGCAGTTTAATAATTAAACTAAGTAGAATAACGCTCTTTAGAATAAAAGTAGTTGCTACCGAGCTCACGGGGAGTCCTGTTTACTCGACCACCTGGACGCTGGTGGACGCGACTGGTGCAGTTTGACCTATTGTGCAGGACACACAACGGATCCCAGGTGCTAAGATGGCAGCTGGGGAATTATTATCGTCAAACGGCTCCTTACTGTCGGTGCGTCGTCCTCTTGAAGTTTTATGATGATTCGATGATAGGTGTAGTGATGCATAAGTCAAACCCACTAATAGACAGGTAAACATATTTTTAATTATCAGGAGACAAATTAAAAGACATTCGTTTTGACAATATTTGTTACCAATGGTGTATTTATAGATGCGTGTAATGATTTTCTGTTCACATCTAATATATATATATATATTTATATATATATATATATATATATATATATATATATATATATATATATATAGTTAATTTAGTAAGTCATCTCAGACTATTCTTGCTTATTTTAATTTCTCCTAAAAATGCTCACTCCCCATGCTCCTTCATGGAAACGCCACTGCCACAAGGTTTTATCTGCTTGATAACACTGAGTAAGGCTGTACACATTTTGAGTTGAATATCCCACACTTTACTTTTTCTAAAATAATACCATTTACATAAATTAATTATCCCTTACCTAAAACAATGATAATGCGGCTGCTTAGAATTGAATAAACTATTCAGCTGTCGATGCATTTCGTACATTTACGTGCAGTCTAGTTAATTGTAATATATAATATCGATGTTTATAACTCCAAAATATGTCGTAGTCGATTACATCGAAATTAAAAGCGACAACGTTGAACGCGAGACGTGAACGGCAGCGACAACGGCATATTTTAGAAAATTTTAAATATTTAAATTAATTCACGTTTTTAGCGTGTTTACGTGGTAAGAATTTTCGGTTTTCACATTTCATCTAGATCTACTACGGCGGAGATGTAGATTCTAGTAAATTAATTATCGGTAACGGATAAATGAAAGTGTAACTTGAATTTTATAAATATTATTTAAATAAAATGGAACTGCAAGAAACGAAAAACATGGCGTTGCTATCCACTACTAACTACTACTATACTATCCGGATCCGGAATCAACAGCCTGTTGACTAAAGATATCACTATTATAAACTAGATCTAGAATCTAGATCTACATCTATTAGGTAATCTATCGTTTTAGCGTAATCAATTCGGCTGCAATAGTAATGTGCGGGAGAGGTAGCTGATGAATATATTTGTTTAAATAAGTTTATTTAATATTTAAGTCAAATTTTACAAAATATCACAGATAATTGATTTAAAATAACAAACAGTGACCAAAACAATTTAAATAACATGAAACTAACTTTAAACTAGGTGTTTGAGATAAATATTAGTAGAAAAAAAACAGCGGCCATCTTTCCAAATACAATTTAGAGTAGTTTCCCTGGATAAAAATGTCTATTCGTATGTATATTGTGTTGACTTTGTTGTTTAATATACATACCTGTCTTGTTTAATATAAGTAAGACAGAGGGCCATCTTCTTATCTTTAATTTCATTTTCAAGTAAAATGAAGGCTATGTATGTATGTACATCCAAGATCTCAAAATTTTTTGGGAGGTCCAGCATTTACTAAACCCTTTTGTACAGATTTGGGGTCGTCCATAAATGACGTCACAATCGTAGGGGGGGGGAGGGGGGGGGGGGTCCGTAATTTTGTGATGATGTGTGATGAGGGGGAGGGGTTCAGATGGTGCTACGTCACACTTTTGCTTTATAGATAAGAAAAGTTAGAAAACGAATTTTAGACATTATTTAGCTTTTTAAAAAACAGTTTTAATAAATTATAATAGGAATTGATTAAAATACTATATTTTGACATATTTCAGACAAGATTTTGGAAAAATATCGATGTTTTAAAAAAAAATCAACTGCAATTTTGAGGGGGGGGGGGGTTGTAGGCTGATGTGGGGTCTGACTTTTTGTGACGACGTGTGACGGAGGGGAGGGGGGGGAGGTAAAAATCGTATTTAAAAAGCGTGACGTCATTTATGGATGACCCCCTTAACTTGTCAATTATTAGGTCGTCCATATTCCTCATAAATGACGTTGGACTCAAAATATGGGACGGTGTAAAATATTTTTTTCAAAAATGATGAAGAATATATTCGTTTTCATTAGAAATTGTGATTAAGGGTTCGGGTATAGTAGAACTGTGATATGATATTAAATCATCATCTTGCTTTTAGTAACTATTGGGTGAGAGGGAAATTGTCGGGAAAAGTATGACGTCATTTATGGGCGATCCATTTAATTAAGCCTAGTTGTTTATTTTGTTTGTAGACATTAGTCTTAGGCCTACACTTTTTCTGAATTAAGATTGTTGTGTTTTTTAAAATAGGTTCAAATTTTAATTAGTTACATTTGAATACCACATGGTTTTTTTTTCTTTGCCTTCTGCTGTCATCAGTTTTTGATTTCTTCAGTAGTCAATGTTTACCCCTCCCCACCATCCATTATTACCACACAAAAAAAACACCCACTATATGTGTCATAGCGTAGATATATAGAATTAGTCTAGACTAGTAGAGGTTACTAAGGACGGTACGAACTTGACGGTAGACGATTTGGTGCGAGAGTATTGTGCGCGTGTTCAATAAAATATGTGTGGCGTGAGTGTGACGTGAGCATGGTGCGACAATGTACCGATGACGTAAGACGCAGCAGTGAAGTTAGTTGGGGGTTAGATCTAGATATAGTAGAAGACGGATGTATTATTTGATATTGTGAAAATGATCTATAAGTGTGTGTTAATTAAGTTCATGTTATTTCATAAACTAAGTTGTTGACATTGTTAATTAGTGTCTGCGGAACATAAGAGTGATTCCCGTCCTCCTCACGAGTATAATAGTTGCCGTATGAATAGTAGTAGATCAGAATATATTGAGATTATATATAAATCGCCCATCACAATATAGTGATATCCCACTCTAGAAAAAAAAAACTAGATCAACGTATAGTTCGTAGGAAAATTAGAATCTATCACTTATTCGTCTGTTAAAAAAAAAAGAAATACGTCATTTTTCTCAACCACGCCGTTTCATCCCCCACTAAGCACAACGTCACAAAGTTCGCGGCGCGCGTGACGTCATTTGTCATTAGGCTAATGTTTAAGAAAGATACCGCGTAATTAAAAGAAAATCAAAACAGGCCCTAAATCACTATGGTGATGAGACTTTAACGACGTTTAGCCTGACGAATAGATCTAAATAACTTTAGTTCGGTGAATTATATTGGTGTTTAATTTATTACAGTGGCATGATGTTCTCCCTCTACTATACAAATTCACGTGCTTTTAATTTCTGCAACCTGCTGCCCTGAGACGTTCGGCTCTAAAATGCCCGTGACACAGCGGCTTCGGTAAATGCATTTAGGCTCCGGTCCCACCTATAAACGTCTGTCCATTAAGCTCCACGCAAAACGTGTGATTAATATGTGGACATAAGCGGCGCTAGTGGTGGTGTCAACAGGGGCCAAGCTCAGGTCTTAAAGGTGCTCCGCACTTCATAAAAGACAAAATTGATGTTCAGATATCGTCGGACTCTGGCGTTTTGCCGACGGCCGTACTCCTAATGCACAGTCTTAGAGGCTGTCCACTGCTAACACTATTTTATGTTAAATTCAAGCCTATACTGAGCTGTGGCTTTACATTAGCTCAGTGGCGTAGCGAGGTCGAGTGTCACCCGGTGCGGCACTTAATGGCGACAAACTTTCAATTTTCGATTTGTCCCATTTTACCTGTAGTCAATACTTGTCGAATATTGTTGACAGGAGCTACTTGGTTTGAGCCTTGTTGTCAGAAGTTATTTCATTTGGAGTCAATATAGTGCGGCCTATTTTCGTCGGTAGGCATTTAGTGGCAGGCCCTTTTTGGCGGGGATGATGTGCTGAGGTTGTTTAACACCGCTTAGTACAACAGGCATGCAATAGTTATGAACAAATGTATGCATGAAAACGAACGCTTTATGTTCCTCATTTTCACTGAGCACAGCTTTATAGAACATTCCAAAATAGACGTCACGCATCCCCCCACCCCCCGACCACCCTGCGTAAGTTGACGTCACATTAGCATTGCATATGTGACATCGTTTATGGGCAACCCCATATAACTCATTTTGGGTATTTGGTATCAACATTTTGACAACAAAGGTTATTCAAAATGTATATAGGACTTGACATCTACCCTAAATGACATCGCACACTTAAGGGGTGGAGTAACTGGTTTTGAGACGACGTTTTACGCGGGAAGTGGGAGGGGTAAGAAACGTGAAACGTTATGTATTTCGCCTAATACAAAAATGCTAAAAATATTTTTCATTAGAATTATGGCTTGACTTTTTAATAGACAGGGCAAAAAGGTAATTTTCGACATTACGACTATTTCGTGACGGCAAAAATGGGGGTGGGGGGGGGGGGTTAAGGTGAAGAGAGGTCAAAAACGGGACGTCATTTGTGATTAAATCACTAATTAAAGGAAAAAAGCATGAAAATATTAAATGAAAATAGGAAACAAACAATAACACAAACAATAAGAATGAACTCAAACTAATATTTAAATAAACATTAGATATGTAGTGGTAGCTCTTTAAAAATAGGGAGTATCTTAATGTATAAAAATTGCATCTCATAATAATGATTATAGAACTGATGTTTATTGTCAGTCAATTAAATTGTTTAAAGGGCAGAATTTAAAAAAAAAACGCATGCTTTGTATTTAAACACAAGACTAACCTTTATAACAGCAAACATCAATACATTTTCATACAAATAGAAATTAAAGGGAAATGACTCAAAATAATATTTTCTTAAGATGGCCGCTGTTTTTAATAGCAAATTTACTTAAATTTAGTATCTGTAACATCGTTGTTAAACTTTAATTTCCTGACATTTTTATTGATTTAAACCTTAAATGTGGTTTAATATTCAATTATCTTTAGTATTTTAGTAAAATGTGCAAAAATATATCCATATTTAAGCCATATTTATTAGTTACCTTATCCCTACATTACTAGTGACGGCCGAATTGATTACGCTAAAGCGATAGATTACCCATCTATTATCTATAGATCTACTAGATCTATAAACTGCCCAGCTCTGTTGCATACTTCGAATATATCGCGATGCCGTCACCCCCCCCCCCCCCCCCCCCCCCCGATCTAGACTAGATCTTTTTTACCTAGCGTTAGTTTTTGTCGCAATTTTCTGTACTTAATTTGCGCCACATCCATCCATCTATCTATCTATCTATCTATCTATCTATCTATCTATCTATCTATCTATCTATCTATCTATCTATCTATCTATCTATCTATCTATCTATCTATCTATCTATCTATCTATCTATCTAAATGTATAGGCCTATATAAAAAGCAATGTACGTCTGTGTGTTTGTCCTTTATGCATTACTACACCTCTCATCACATCGCCGTGAAACTTTGGGAAGTTGTTGAGAATATTCCTGGGGACATTTCTGCGGAAAAAAAATTTCAAATTCGCCGGGGTCGCGCCCCGGCAGGGCGCGATTTGTTTTTTTCTATATACGGTATATAAAAATAAAAGTCGATTTTGGTTTGGCACCGTTTATCCGATAGGCATGAAACTTTGGGGAGTTCATTATAAAACTCTAAGGAAGGGTTATGTAAAAAATCATTTTTAATTTCGCAAGGGCGGTGCCACGGGAGGGTGAGATTTTTCTCTATATACGGTTTATAAAAATAAGTCGATTTTGGTGTGACACCATTATCCGATAGCCATGTGACTTTGGGGGAGTTGATTAGAACAATTCAGGGAAGGGTTCCGTAAAAAAAATCCTTTTTTAATTTCACAAGGGCGGCGCCACGGGCGGCTGCG